AAAAAAAAAAAAAAAAATTTAAAAGATGGCAAAAAAGTGATTTATCTAAGAGAAAAACTGGTATGTTCAAGTTTTCTACAAAAACAAACAAAATCCAAATGCCAAGGCCTGAAATCTATTTTTGATGAAAATTATTTATCATGGATTTTAAATCGTAACTGGGAAACTTAAAGCATTATAGTCCATCTCTGAGGAAAACGCTTAGCCTTTCTTCCGATTTAAAAGAATTAAAAAAGCGAAGTCCTCTTTGTAAAGTGTCATTTTAGTGCATGCCATCAACCTAGAGAACCGCCTAGGCTTAGTTCATCACTACCCTAATTATTGCCCCACTAGGTAGAGATCAAAGTTAAAAATCTTTCCATCCAGCAAATGGCATTTATGTAATATACAAGTAATATACAAGGGAGATACAAATTATATCTTCTGCTTTGTTTTTTGGAGTGTCATAAATCCTTATGACGCACAATCATGTGGCAACAATTCAGTTTCCTGTACGTCAACATCCATTACTTCCAACACCTTATCAAAACAATATACCAGCATAACTGTAAAGCGAAACACTGGCATGGTCTGAAGAGGGAAGAAAATTTAGTCTCTCATAATTTCTTCTATAGTCTATGATTTTTCTAAAATTGATTAGAAAAAAAATTTTTTTTAACTTTTTACATACTTGCCAGAGACAGAGAAAAAGAAGCAAAGGGAAAAATGATAAATCATGCCTGGCGGGGGGTGGATGGCCACACTGCAATCTTTTCTCTTCCAGGATCCTCTCAGGATTTTAAGTGCACACACACAGGCAATGGGCATGATCATCAGGTGGCCAGGCTGGAAACTGGAACTGCAGTCGGCCATGTGGGGTCCCATGCTTCAACCTATAAGCCACCTGCTGGCCCTCGAAGAAAATTGAATAAACTGAGTGTTTTTAGTATTGGGAGGGGTATACAAATCTACAATCTCTTCTTTGAAACCCTTGGAGCTGACTGTCTTTCAGAACTTCAGTTTTACGAAGGCAATATTGTTCACACGCCACACAGCTTGCAGCAGGATCTCATCATCCAATGTTAACTTTGTTACAGTCAAACTTGTTTACAGAAAATACAATGAAGACTGTGAATAGCTTCATGTCAGTTCAGTTCAGGTTTTGCTGACAAATGTCTGTTTTGAACTTACAAAAAGTCTTTTGGTTTTCAGACTTTGAATTTTAAATAAGGGATGATGGACCTGCATATGTAAAAATGAGACAAGTGGGGCCAGAAAGTGGCATGTTGGTGAAGGCACTGGACTCCCATAGGGCCAACCTCGGTTAGAGTCCCGGACCTGACAGCTTGCTTCCTCTCTCTTCCTCTCATCTCTCTGGTGAGTGTATGTTCCCTATAGCAAATTAAAACAATAATAATAAAAATAAAATAAATATAGATTAGAAACAAACCCCCAAATCAACATATGTCTTTCTGAAGACTTTTTCAATCCAACGACACCCACATCTTAAGTGTTTGAATGATCCAGATACTTTCAAACACTATTCAAAAGCAAGCCTAAACTCTTTCTGAAGAGAAACCACCACCAAGGGAAATACGCCTTCTCTGTTCGCCTTCTTTTTAGAGCCTGCACACATGGCATAGAACTCACTTTCATCAGTATTAGTGGTCATTCTGATGGTGATTCTCAAACAGAAAGGTTTGTTCTGTTCCTAAACAATAGCTAAATCTGGTATGAACAATCTCCTATCTTTTAAGAATCTTTGGCTTTCTCCCTAATAAAAATGATGGTTCTTCTAGTTCTGGTAGTAATTACAATTCTGTATTTTAACTGGCATTGTTCTCTGAAGGGTTCTTTAAGAGTTGGATTATTTTAAGTCTGGCAGGTTAATTTTTAGACCTTATAAATTCACATAGAGCTTTGATAAAACTATAGCTGTCCAGGTAACACCAGATTATACACCTTCAGACCCAAAGCACCAAAACGATGATAGTGTACTCCCTCAGCATAATTCAAACCAAAACAAGCATAAGGCAGTCCATCCTAGATTGGCTTTTTCTTATGAAGCTTGGTAAGTTCTTCTTCAAACTGTTCTTTTTTTGCTTGTGACCCTTGCTTTGCTAGTCTTCAGTGTGAGCCTTTTCCCAACTGGATCATCTAGCTCTGGGTGAACCTGAAGACTTATAGGAAGAAATAAAAAGGGAAAAAAGAGAGGGACAAGGAGAAGGGAGATAACCTGGACACAAGCATCCTAGACTGCCAAGCAGTATAGGAAAAACTCTGGGTGCCAGCAGGTGGCATGATGTTTAAGACACTGGACTCCCAACATGGTCAACCATGGTTCAAGTCCTGGACCTGGCAGCTTGCTTTCTCTGTCTCATCAAATTGAGTAATAATAATACATAAAATGAAATAATTATTTTAAAAGGAAAGAAAGGCTCTGAAAGGCACTGAAGAATCTTCAAGCCAAAGTTGACTATCTGTGGAGTTTTGATTCTCCCAGGAAGTGCTGGTTGTGGAATGTTTGCCATGCTAGGTCAGTGGCTGAAAGAAACCACAGAAGGCATGGTCTCAACACAAGTGCAGCAGCTGGGCCCTCGGTCACCTGCCTTCTCTGTATTCCTCCCAGGAGCGAAGTCTGTGCCAAAGATCTCCATTGCACGACAGGGGCTCAACACCCCAGGAGAAAGCTTTCCTAACTAGCATCTTTTATAAACGCCCACAACTATGCATCTAACTTCTCACTGTCATTGGACTAGAAGAGGAAAAGGGAAAAATAAAACCGAAAAGAAAATGTTACTTGAACACAAACCCAAAGTTTTCACACCTGTAAAAATGCACCAAATGTTTTCTTTTTCTCAGTAGTTTATATGCAATTGACTCTCAAAGCACATTTTCAAGACACAACAGACCTTATTACGTTTTACCAATGAATTATTTCTATTCCAAAAGATTAAGTCAAAAAACAAATTTGAAAGTTTATTTCTAAGTCAACCAAGATGATGAACTTAGAGGTTTCTATCATTTTTCTTAGTTCAATGTTCTGCATGTGCATTTTTAGAATAAACCATCAGTGCCAAATAATTTCTTAACTCTTTAGGTTGAGAGCTATGATTCATATAAAAATATAATCAAACATCCCAAATTCCTGAATAAGCCAGTTTTAAAAACACAAACTACTTGAGCACTTGCTATGAAACTGTTTCAATAAACCACAATTAACCACCGATTTGGAAATTCAGTTTAAAGGTGAAACTTTTATATATACACACTTTCTTTACCGGGAAAAAAGTGACTTGGAAGAAGTGATGACCGCCTGAGAACAGACGTTCAGGACATTCGTTACTGCATTCTCTTTTTATTTATTTATTTTGACATATTTAAGCATTTCTTTAAAAAATAAACTTGCACTTTATTTCCATTTCCCATAAATTTATTTATTCATGACAGAGAACACAAGCATAAGAAAGAGAGAGACAGAGAGAGAGAAGCAGCCTCGACAGGGTGCCCTCATGGGTAATCCCCTGACCTTGGCCCTCTGGCTCATCAGTATCTTGGGCATATGCACCTGCATCCACATGTTTTCAGGTTGACCTGGGGATCCAAATCCATGGTAGCCATGAGGCTTCCAGCACTGGAGTTCAGTTTGCTACCAACTGCACTACGAGGCTGAACCTCTCTTTTCAGAGCATACATTCAATAGTACTAAGGAAACTTTATGGCCAAGTCCTAAAAAACATAAATAATGATAGTAAGACCATTATCACACGAATAAAAATGGAGCAAGTCAAACATATGAGTCCACATGCTCGATTCCATTAATTCAATGACTTGAAGTAAATGCCATGTTAAACATCATGAGCAAATACAAGGTTACTTGAGGAAATTAAACCCTTTAAAGTCTTTTTAAAAGTTTTAATAAGCAGTATATCTCCTATCAGCATAAATGAGATGCAGAACAAAAAAATACTATGCTGAATAAATTCTCATAACCTTGCACCCTCGAAAAATACAATTAACACTTATTTTCCACACTGTTACTATTTATATCTTACTTATATATAAAGCAATTATACATTTTTCATTCTTCCTAATAAGTATTTAAAATATTTATAGATATGCATTAGGACTAAACGTTAATTTATGATCCCCTTAAAAGTCTTTCAACTTGTAAAAAAACAATTTCTGGGAATATAAAAATATTCAATTATACACATTTCTGAGTTTGATAAAACTTAAAGTGCAGTGTTTTCATGTACCAGCAAATTATAATTGTGCCATAAAAGTTTATCTTGAAAGAGCATGTAAATAAGTTCCAAAATTCTGTGAATGCTACATTATAGACAAGAGAGCATAGGCAGTTTGAGGTTTGACTATCCATACTTCTTCTATGACAAGGTCAAGGAGGGAAAATAAGCATGAAAGTAAAGCATGTTTTATGAGGTGAAAAGCAATGTTTTCAAGAAAACAGGAATCAAGTACTTTCTCCCTTTAATAACTTTTCTCTAGTCCATCACCTCATTCACCAAAAAAAATGTTACCTCAGTTCAATTAATGAACAAGTTACTCTTAAACAAAACGTCAAAGTGTCCAAATTTGTCCACAGCTAAGACCTTTCAAAACACTAGTCATTCTAAGCTCTTTTCTTAATATTCAGCAAGGACTTTAATTAAAAATAATTCTGGGCCAGCAGGTGACATGGAGATTAAGTCAATGGCTTCTACATGGCCGACTCCCTGGTGTGAGTTCTCAACTCGGCAGTTTGAAAATCACACCAGGCACATGTGCATGCATACTCAAAACCCTGAGAGAATAATGGAGGAGAAGGTATTGTGGCATGGCCATCCCCTCGCAAGGGATCATTTCTCATTTTCCCTCTCTGGTGAGCACACAGGTCCTACAGGAAAAAAAAAAGGAATCCTATTGCCATGTGCTCCAGATTTTAATATTAATAAAAATTTCACTGAGTTTGATGTAATTTTTTCCAAGGATGTATTTCAAAAAATAAACTTGTACTTTAATTCCATTTTCCCACTAAGTTATTTATTTATTCATGACAGAGAACATGTGCATGAGAGAAAGAGACAGAGGTCGCATCAGCAGAGTCCTCTCAGTTGGCGATCCCCCGTCCTTAGCCCTCTGGTTCATCAAAATCTTGAGCATGTGCCCTTCAGGCTGACGTGGGGATCTGAACCTCCAATGCCATGAGGATTCCAGCACTGAAGTTCAGTTTTCTAGGTGGCAGTGTTGAAGTAGATTATTAATATACACATGGTTACAAAATTAGAGTCAAAACTAACATGGACAAAAACTAACTACTGGAGAAAAAATTAAAGGACTGCTTGAAAAATTCTCTTTAGCGTGACAAAGATGAGTCAATTTTAGACAAGACCAATGACTGGCTTTTTTTTTGCAGCAACAGCCCCCTGGGATCTGTGATTAAGATGGTATTTGGGCCCGGACAACTTTCAGCGATGATTGCTTCATCAATTTTTGCTGGTGTCTTGTTGACTGTGCCTCTTCAATGGCATTAAATGCTCTCTGTAAGATAAAATATTTAATATGAATTATAAAGACAGGTACAGGCTCATGTGGTGGGAAGAAGGGGATAAAAACAAGTGATAGAGTTCTCCACAAGGTTCAAACACACAGTGCAGAATACAATCCTTCCTCCCTGTTGAGTCCACAGTATACTACTGGGTCATTGGAAAGTCATGATGTATTTTTCTATGCAAAAATGCATCATGACTTTTCTGACGGCTCACTATCTTAAGTTTATATATATCCACCCCAAGATATAACTGGAAGAGCTTTGGGGGAAAAATAACAGATATCATTAATTGTAAAACATTTGTTTTTTTAATCTTCCAGCTTAAAAAAATTTAGAGACAGTGTTCTTTAAAAGCAGTTGCTTACCTCTGCTGTGGTGGTGTCCTTCAGGTAAATTTTCCGAAGGAGGCCTGGACCAGCACTGTCTTTTTTGTGGAACAGACCCTGCTCCTGTTTCAAAATAAACAATGATGGAAAAGAAGTTATTCTAGGGAAGAGGAAAAAAAAGCATAACCTTTAGCTTAAATGTCAACCCTACCTTATAAGCAGTAGGCTAAACCAAATACTCATATTCAAGTATTACAGAAAATAAATCATCCTGGCACAAGGATAATGGTTCCATATGTGAGATTTTAGAATTCATGAGACTGGATAAGTATACATCTATCTGTATAAAAGAACGCTTCCTGCCGGTTATGATAAACAGCCTGCAGAAACAGCTTCTTGATAACTCATTACGTCTGACAAATCAAAATGCCCTCTCTTCGTTTACTTGTCTGACTGAAAAAGTTCTTATATTATGTAAAATACACTGAGTCGATTCTCGCTGCAGATATAACAGAAAAGTGATAACTGAGGAAACTGTAAGATATATGCATAGTGACAGTCTTTCTCAGTTTGAGAGCCGTGTTTCATACACCAAAGCACTCTTTAAATTTTGATCCTCTCCTATGAAGTAATGCTGAAAACAAAATAGTAGAGTGACATGGTAGTTCCCTTTATAAATGTCTATGAAAAGAAAAGTAAAAACAAATTAAAGGTACTCACTCACCTCTTGAATTATCTCATGTTGTGGTTAATGTTTTCCAGTTAATTTCAGTAGTAAAGTTAGCATCACTATTGTTTAGGACAAATAAATACACTATAGAAGGTTCCATTTTTATAATGTGGTTTATTTTTTTAAAGGACGAAATGAAACTTGTAATATATATAATGTAATAAATGTTTCAAAGTTAATGAGTCTGGGAACCAGCAGTTAGCATACTGGCTATGTTGCTGGACTCCCACATAGTTGACTGCGGTTCGCATCCCAGATCCGGTGGCTTAAAACTCGCGCCGGGTGTGGGTGCATGCGTGCCCAAGATCCCAAGAGGAGAATGGAGGAGAGGGGATTGCGTCGTGGCCATCCCCCCGGGGGTTGATTTCTCGCTTTCTGTCTCTATGTATCTCTCTGTCTGGCAAGCGCATGCGCCCTATAGCGAAAACCTCTCCAAAAAAAAAAAGTTAATGAGTCTGACAACTAAAAATGGGGTACCACTTTTGCCAATTATTTACTATGTAATTAAAATAAAAGTTCTTCCTTAGAAAATGATGGGATACAAAGACATGAAAGCACTGTTATATTTACATCTGCAAATGCCAAATATTATAAAACAAGGGCATTTTAGACATGTTATCATCAAAGCATTTAACAATATCCTTAAAGACTGAAAAAGAAACAGGTCAGCCAGGGCATCATGGTTAAGGCAGCTGGATCCCATACGGCCAACTGTACAGTTCAAGTCCTGGGCCCAGCAACTTGAAAAACATGTCAGGCACGTGTGTGTGTGTGTGTGTGTGTGTGTGTGTGTGTCCCGAATCCCAAGAGCAAAACATAGGAGAGGGACACAGCATGGCCATCCCCCAGGAGGATGCTTTCTCAGTCCTCAACCCCTGGCTCTCTTCAGTGAGCATACATACTCAATACCAAATTTTAAAAAAAAATTTAAAAAGACTTAAAAAAAAAATCTTTCTAGAAATGTTCAAGATGACAGCAAAATGGATATGCATATATAGTTACAAAAGAAACAACACCTCCTATTTACTAATGAGTAATTTTACCAAAAAGGAAATGTCAGCTATTAGCATACTAATTCTTTAGGGGGACAAACTGATGCACTGTGATATTTCACTGTGCAGTCAAGGGCTGTCAGGAAAGAGAGCTACAAAAGAAAACTGATTACATCTTTCTTTATATCTCAGAATACAATAGCAGCAACAAGGATGATGATGGTGACATTAACACTTCAGAAAATGTTGTTAAGGTATTAGCCATAGGGAGTGTGCACTCCCAGAGAGAGAGAGAGAGAGAGAGAAATCACCCTCCTGGGGGAGGGCCGTGCCACAATCCCTCCTTCTCCATTTTCCTCCTGGAATTTTGGGTACACGTGCAAGTGAATTGGTGTGATTCTTAAGCCGCAGGGTCCAGGACTCAAACTGCGGTCGACGTTATGGGAGTCTTAACTACTTCCCTACCCGCGGGCCCCAGTACCTCAAATATTTAGTGTAGTTCAGTGTAAAACAGCCAGAAAGCACTGGTTTTCACTCATTTAATGAACTCTTGGTTCTAAATGTGTGTTTTCTTACCTTAACTGAAATCTTCAGCAGATTTTCACTGACGCAAGGAGGAAATACAAAGTCTTCGAATGAACACTGCCAGTCCACGGACATGTGGCCTAGGATTTCAACTTCCTTTATACACAACACTCGTCTGTTTTGCAAAAGAGAACAGAAACAGGGAGGTAGTGCTGAAGACAATTATCGTCTGCAACATTAGCACTTAATCAGAAAATACAAACTTGGCACTAAAAAGAAGTATGCTTCTCATTAAAAGGAAATCTAGGTAACTGTCAAATAAAGAGCAAATCTGACATGTACTAACAAAGTAGTCGAAACCTTTTTTACCAATCCTGCAGGAGTCCCCTGACTATTTTAAATGACCAACATAGGGATGCGCAAATCATTTTGGAAACACACAAGGAGCAGGCTGTACTCTCAACTGGGATGCACTAAAGGCAGAAGCCCCTGAAAATGTTGTACTTGAAAAATTAATTGTTTTTTACTGTTAGTCAATTTTGCCTTCCAGTTCAAGATAGAAGGTGCAGGAAATGTCACAGACCTCAAATGTCAGCAAAGAGTCACTGCAGGCCCACTAATAAATATCCGACTGTAACACTTCAGCACTGAAGTCCCGTATCACAGAGTGTTTCCCATCTGACTCAACTGCAGCAATAACAACAGCAGAATCCTTAAAGTACATGCACACTGATTTCCCAGCCTGTGATTCCAATTCATTACTGTATAACTATTCTTGATTTTAAGTTTCCATTACAGAAAGCAAACTAGAAAAGTAGGACTGTTACTTCAACAAGTGTCTTGGGTGCTGGGGAACAAGGCAGACGGTAAGTACTCGAGAAGTACTCGCCGGCTAGAAGGGGAAATAAACACGCAAATACACGCTGCAGCACAACTCCGCGAGTGAGGTAAGGGAGCGAAGAAAGTCTCCTGGAGCTCAGGAGAGGGGGCAGACTGCGTTAGTAAAGCAGGTGACGTAAGAGCTGCTTCTCGAGAGGACGGCCCTCTGTGTGGGGTGGGAAACGACAGCCCAGACAAAGATGAGTGAGCGTGAGCACACGTACAAGGGAAGGCTTATGCGAGGAACGTGGTCTGGATCACAGACCTGGACCATCAGACAGTGGTGGAAAAATTAGCTCAATGCCAGATTATGACATTTTTTTGTGTTGCTTTTTGTTGTTGTTTTTGCCATCTTAAGAAACTGTGACTGGGGCCAGCAGGTGGTGTGGTGGTCACATCACTGGACTCCACAGAGATCTTTCTAAACTATAATACAAACCTCAAACCTTACTTGTAAGCAAGTACTCCTTGCTTAGAGGCCTACAGTGGGAAAGAAATAAAAAAGAAAAATACTTCTTGTGCATGTACTGTATGCACATATTTCTCAGTAAGAAGTTGTAATACCAGACAATAAATCCACAGACTATACCTCACAAAAGAGTGTATCTCCTTCGTAGTAACGACAGCACTTACACTCCCAATCTTACAAAGAGCTGCTATGAGCAACCATGACTGTCGCCTCACCTGCCAGTACTTCCCCCGAACGCCCTGCATCCAGCCATTGCATCCCATCCTACTGTTCCGAGTGCCTGACTGTTCACGTCTCTGCCTCCTCTCATTCACATGTGAACAGCTACATACTCTGGGAGATGTAGAAAACCCCCTTTATAGACCGAGTTCTTCCTATGTGCTCAGAATCTGTCTGTAACTCACTCATAGCACCTATCGCCCGGTATGTTACTGAGAAACTGTCCACTCCCTCTTTCAGATGGGGAAGGGCCAAACGTGTAACTTTCATCTCTGTGTCCCTGTACCTGTCATTATTTATGGTTAAAAAAATAGTCTTCTTAATGATCGATATCCTGATAAAGATTACTAAAATAATTATGAAGGAGTCAGTGCCCATTAACAGAGCTGTAGCCTAATATATTAGGTCATGATAATTGGTGTTTTGTTTTTAAAAACTGGTAAGAAAAAATATTGTGATTAAATTTTGTATGAACTTCAATATGGAATAATTAAAAGTAAATATATTAGAAAATCTAATAAGGAATCATTAAACTAGTACTTTGAGTTTAAAGGACTGATACAATTTAAACTTTTTTTTATATCTTTAGAATTAGATGAACATACTAATGAAAAATGAGCAAGGATATGAACGACTCATAGAAAAATTAAAAATACAAATGAGATGACATATTAATACTAATTAGTAGAGAAATACTAATTAAAGAAGTAATGTCCTATGCATTAGGCTAGCAAAAGTAAAATTTTAAACAACACCTTGTGTTAGCAAAACAAAGAACAGACATTTTAATATATTGTGAGTTGTATGTAAAAAATTGATGCAACCCTCTAGAAAAGGCTTCAAAAATCTTCACAACTATTAAATTAGTAATTCTACTTTTAATTTACCCTAAGAAAATAATAGGAAAAAGTAATTGCTGCATAGACATAATAATAAAACACTGAAAAGAAGAAAGCTGGATATCAAATAGCAAGAGAGCATGAGTAAATTATAGTATACCCATAAATATAATTATATAATTATTACATAATCATTAAAAATCAGATTGTTAGGGACCAGCAACTGGTGTGATAGTTAAGGCACTGAACTCCCACATGGCCAACTGCAGTTTAAATCCTGGCATCGATGGCTTGAAAATCACCCCGGGGAACGTGGATGTGCGTGCCAAAAAATTCTGAAAGGAGAATGGAGGAGAAGGGATTACAGCATAGCCAGCCCCCTTAGATGGTGATTTCTCACTTTCACCTTCTCTGTCTCTTTCCAGTGAACACACGTGTCGTATGGCAAAAAGAAGAAGAAGAAAAAAAAGCAATCACATTGGTGTTCCTGCTGCTGTGGCACAGTGATGACACGAGTGCCCCACGAGACCGCGTGGCCAGCTACGAATCTGGATCCCTGGGTCTGCTTGCAAACACAATGGATGCACAGGGGTGGCCAGGATCCCCAAGTGCTGAAGGGCTGGGGACAGGGACGGAGGTGCGACAGGACCCTGTCAAAGGCACTTCTGTCTCTCTCTCTCTTTCTCTCATGTGTACACATGTGCTCTCTGTCATAAGAAAAAAAATTATGTTATCAAAAAATAATGGTTTGAGAAGATGGTCACCATATATTGTTACATTAAAAAAACTTAGGTTACTAAATGTACACAATGCCTTTTTTTATATAGATTTTATAAAATATATATAGTTTCAAAATCTGACATGTCAGCTAACAGTAGTCATCTCTGGATGGTGAGATGGACAGTATAGAATATTTTTAGGGATTATCATATAATTTATCATTCCAAACATGAATGAAAGAGATTGCTATTGATAATTATGAACTGTGCCTTAAAAATCCTAGCAAATCTCCATCATGTTAACAATAACACATAAACCCTTATGATCTTAGTAATAATCACTCTGACTTTGCTTAAACCAGCTCTACCCTAGGCAAACTAAAATGCATGTTTACTTATCTTCATCTTCTTACTTATTAGGGTGAACAGATGATAGCCTTTATACCAAATTCAGCTTAAGGCCTGTTTTTCTTGTTTGTTTGTTTTTGTTTGTTTGTTTTTACCATAGGGCACATGTGCTTGCTGGAGAGAGACAGAGAGAGGGAAAGGGAAAAGTGAGAAGTCAATCCCCAGGGAAAAATGGCCATGATGCAATCCCCTCTTCTCCATTCTCCACTCATGATTTTGGTCATCCAAATACACATACCTGGTGTGACTTCAAGCCGCTGGATCCAAGACTCGATCTATGGAGAACCACGTGGGAGTCCAGAGCCTTACCCACCATGCCACCTGCTGGCCCCAAAGGCCTATTTCAATGAATCAAACTTTTCTTGGAACACAGCCAAGGCCATTCTTTTACATATCATCCATGGCTGTTGGGCAGAGTTAAACAGCTGAGAAATACAATATGGCCCTAGGACCCTAAATATTTACTATCTGGCCCTTTAAAAAAAAGTTTATTGACTCCTTATCCATACAATCCACAATGAGTAAGCATGACTTCGGCAATGAAAAATAAAAGTTATTTTTAAGAATACTACATTTGGAATTTTATACTTGTTATTTTAATGTAATCAGTAAAAGTCAGATCTAAATAATGGTAACTATCCCAATCGAAGACACTTTTCTTTAGAAAGAGACTACCAAAGCAAGCAAGGAGATTGTGTCATTGCACTGGTCAGGAATATTATTTGACTAGTTTCCTTCTAAAAGCTTCCATACAGGGCAAGGTAATAACACGTTCGGCATCTGGGCTTATTCATGAAAGGTGCCAGGTTTGCATTCAGGACCTCCCTAACCATGTCGAGCAAGCATGCACCCATGATCCCGGCCACCCGACACAGGGTGGAGTGGGTTTGGAAACCCTGTTGGGGATGCCTGTCTCTCTCATGGAAGAAATAAACAAGCCCAAAAGGCCTTCCGTAAATGATGAGATTTAAAATGATGAGTTTTCAATTTACTTGAAGAGAAACAAGGTACATAATACAACCCATAATATTCCCACAATTGTGCCTTAAATCAAACAAGTACTTAAATAATAAGTATTAAGAACAAAAACAAAAAATCCTGTTTCCCATTGCCTAGTGCTATGTCATATAAAAGGTACACAATTTTAAAATACATGAACACATTGCCACTGCCTCCCAAGTACAACACACAACACAAATAAACCCTGGGTTTGGTTTAATCCAATGGAGATAATATGAAATTACAGGCATTAAAGGTAAGTGGTTACCTGTCAAAGGCGACTTTTTAGATTAACTGCTGTGTGATTTTTTTATTTTTTATTTCTTCACTAGTGGGCAAACTATCAACACTGTCATATGACTGGTTAATCTTTCTTTTAAAAAATGCGTAGGTTTAAAAAGCTGAATTCTGTTACTCAATAATCCTTTCCTTCTTTCCCATCAAAATATATTTAAATGCAGTAGTGGAGGAATCTAATGCCAACTTTGAGAACTCTAACTACTTTGTTTTAGTCCTACAGAGGTACATCACTTAGCAAGTTCTGAAAATCATTCATTTGTAAGTTACCTGTGATAAGTTTATTCTCTAGAGTATATCCCAGGAAAATAAGCTCTATAATTTGGTCCCAGTTCTTTTATTTGGAAAAATTATCTATCTATCACTTCTAAAATGCTTAGGAAAAAGTGGGATAAACAGACAGGAATAATGTCATCCCTTAAAAAAAGATCTAGGGACCAGCAGATGGTGTAAGGGTTATGTCACTGAACTTCCACACAGTTGACCTTGGTTCAAGTCCTGGGCCTGATGGTTTAAAACACACACCAGGCTTGTGCATGTGTGTGTGTGTGCCCAAGGTCCTGAGAGGAGGATGGAGGAGAAGGGATTGTGGCATGGCCATCCCTGCTGGGGGGGGAGGGTGATTTCTCAGATTCTGTCCTTCTCTCCCTGCCTCTCTGGTGAGCACACATGCCCTACAGCAAAAATCTCTCTCTCTGAAAAACAAAAAAGCAAAAAATTAAGAAAAAGTGACTCATGAATTAACACTCTGTAAGTGGACTTGTAATTCCTACATAATGGTATCACTCCTATAAAGCCTATTCCAGACTCTGTCTCTCCGTAGTTGTATAAGGTGAGTAAGCCTCTAGCTCATGTAGATTGTCACTATTCTACCATGAAGATATTAGGACTGATGATCTCAAATGCTGGTCCATCAGCATCTGTATTTTTGTGATTCTATGAAAATAAACAAATTGCCCTTGAAGTCTTTGTTCTGCAAATCCTCTGCCAAAACTTTTGTCATCTGTACAACCAAGTTGCTTTAGAAAAAACATCACTCGAAAGTAGTACCTATTTGTAACCATGAAGATCGTTTTCCTGTTCCCAGGGATAGCACAGTGGTATCGGTAAGCCTCTCCTTCCCACTTTCTGACGTGATTCTGGAAAGGAAACAAGAGTTAAGATTTGGGAAGTATATTCATTCTTGTATACTATATATTAGCTAATTATAATAACAGTGTTAGAAAAAAGTATTAAAAACAAAAGCACAATTCTACATATTGATTCACGAGGCTTGAAAAATTTTCATAGCATGTTTTTAAATGTATAACTTTCACTGTTCCCTTAAAAGAAAAATATGTATTAAATGCTTACCAAGTGATCTTCTGGTAAAATATATTTTGTTCTGTCCTAACTTAGAAATTTAAAAATATTTACCAGAAATAATGGCACATTTTAATTATGAAACATATAAACAGGAGTTAATAAAAAACTAGCACACTAACACAAATGAGTTCTTATGCACGGTGGCTCTTTAAACCAACAAACACAGAATATATAATTCTGAAAATGTGGTTCTATAACTTTTTTCAGAGAATGTTTCATGCTTTTATTGGATTTTTTTGAAGAGGTCTGTGATCCCCCTCTCAAAGTTTAAGAACCACTGACTTCCACAGAGGTAGGAATTATACACATAATAAAATTCCAAAACAACTGATATTTAATGTTTATGAATATCTGATTTTAAAGATTAATTGTGCTTGAGAAGTATATTTACATATCAAATTATATTTATCATAAAATATAATAACATTAATACAAACATGAATGTCTAAGCTGTCAAAATAGCTGACACATTTTATTTCTAAAGACACATACAAGCATAAAATAATTCAATTATAAATAGTAGCACATTAAAATACATTTCTTTTCCTCTTCCACTATCTCAAAACTAGTGTGACTTCAATTAGTCAACATATATTAAAAAACAATGAAAGAGTTTATTGTAATAAATGCTAATTAAATATTATTGATATTATCTATAACGTATGACTAAAGATCAGATGATATGTATACAAGTACAGAACATAAATGTTTGGAATAAATAAGACCGTAACATTTTATACTCATGAACATAATACCCATATTATAAGAAGGCTGTTATATAGTCAACATAACCACAAGCAGAGAAAGCACACTTGATGCTATTATTTCGTTGCTCAAATACACACTTTTAAAAGCTGTATATTCCTGAACAATTACACAAAGCCATAAACAAGGAAGAGGAATTCCCAAAAAAGAACTGAAGTCTCATTCTGAAAATGAACCTCAGAGTGAAGTGCAGTTCACATACAGCAGCCACCTGTCTCACAGGTTACCTGGGAGCTAGCTAAAATATTTTAACACTTATGCCTCAATTTCTTCAAAGAAAGAATGGAAATGAATATAATGATTTAGTGCATTTAGCTTCAGCTTGACATTTACATATGTTAAAGTATTTAGATTTAAAATGCAAGTACAAAAAATTCTATCCACTTTCTACCCTGAATGCATTTTCATTAGTTATCGGGCTACTGTATTCCAAACCATTAAAATATAATTTATCACCACAATATACTTCAAAAACCTTGTTTTCAGTCATGCTACATATCCACTGCACTCTGAGATTCAGATTAAGATGTTCAGTCACTGATGACGGCAGGAGGCCAGACTAGTCGATAAAATATTCACTCCCCTCTCTCCAAATCTAACTTGAGCAATTTAATGATACTTTGCAAAATCCCTTTACTCAATAACTCAATTTTTTTTCAAATAAATTCTAAGGAAATTATAAGATATGAAAAGCAAAATGTGTAGTGGTGTGATTATTACTATTAGTAAAATAACAAAATTTTAATGTCAAGAATTGAGAATAGTCAAATACACAACATGAAGTAACCTCAAAATGGTAATGCAAGAATTAAGAATGTCAATGGCTACTGTGCAGAAGAGGGGTTACTGTTAACAATATTGTATCATACAATAGCTTAAAGAGAGGACTTTGAATGTTCTCATCACAAAAACAATGAATATTTGAAATGATATGCTAAATATTCTGATTTCATTCCTGTATATATTAAAACAATATATACATGTTTATTACAACACATACATGTATTAGAACATCACACTCTACCCTATAAATATGTACAATAATGACATGTTAAAAATAAAAATACAAAAAAGAATGCTAATGAAGCATTTCTAAGAACATGGAAAGATATAATGAAGAAGAAAATGAAGAACACCATTTAAAATATTGTACGCTCTTAAGTGTGTGAACTAAAATTAATATTAAATAAAAACTGTCTCTCATTCTCTCTACATATACATACATACACACACACACACACACACACACAAATAAATAAGCAGTAATTATCCTAGGAGAATGGAGGATAAGCAGAAGAATATACCCTATAATACCACAGTATATAACGTAGGAACTTTCAAAACTCACTATTAAATAGAAAGATACAGAGCAATACTAGGGAGAAAAAAGAAAATGAGGATCAAAAGAGGCCCAAATAAATTATTGAGAATGTACCTATATTACAATAAGGGCTGGGACATAACCACTTTAAATTTGCTCTTTAATATCTACATGTTTTGTTATCTTTGATCCCTTGAGGACAGAATTTTTACATCTCTTGTATATCCAGGGCATCTAGGTATTCGTAAATACTTCTTACCCAACCAACTCAGCACAGCAAGATGGGCAAGGTATGAAGTAGCCTGAATTTCTCAGTTATCCACACCGATGCTCGTACTCATGGAAAACTATCAAGTCACTTCAAGAAGGTACATTCCACTTCTTCTAGTAATTACATAATATATTAAAATGTAAAAGGTTGTCCGCTATCTTAACAATAAATCAGATGACTATATGTTTAGTTAAATAGTGAGCTTTTAAAAGTTTTCTGTTTATTACATAGAGTTGTAAAAAGGGAAATTACAAGGAAATAGTAAATAACATAAAAAATCAAACAAACAAAAGTAAATAAGTAAATTAAAAAAAAAAAAGACTTAACAAGTTATAGGAGTTCCAAAAAGTTGTCTCACTAAAATCATAATATACTCACAAAAATAAAAATCACTACTTTTATCCAAGAAGCTTAGGGAGGGTAATTAGTGATGACTTAAGACAGCATCTTGAATTCAAATTACTGTGCTCTCTTCCCATAGAAAATCGTATACCCGGTGGCATGTGTGCCAATCCTAGTGTCTAGGCACAGGAACAGTCTGTCAGGGACTTCTAGTACATACAGGTTTTGCTAACCATACTTGGTCCTTTAAGGTCAGAGTCTGATCTCTTTTGTACATCCAGCAAAAGCTGCTCTTTGGATATATTCTGTCTTATTTAAAGTGCTTGTCTTAAATATTAAACATTCAATTTATTCTCTTAGTAACTATAGTTTTTAAAATATATAATCCAACTGAACAGTTACATGTTAACAGTTTCATCCTCTTCAAATATAAGACACTGTAAATCAAAGTTTATACTATGATTTCAATTCGAGGGTGCACATCACTGTTACTAGGTAAGACATGGCTAAATCAGCTTCAACATTTCCATAATTTATTAAATAAAAAACATAACTTATTTTAAGAATTACTTATGGAGGCACTAATTTGAAAATGAAAATTTGGAATTACTTTTGTTCTCATTAAAATAATAAATGTTCTCTAAAAATTTAGAAACAAAGAAGAGTTTGTCTTATAAAAATAAAGATTTTTTTTAAATCTTGGGGCCAGCAGGTGATATGATGGTTGAGGCACCAGACTCCCACACAGATGACTGCGGTTCAAGTCCTGGACCTGGCAGCTTGCTTTCTCACTCTCCTTTTCTCTCTGTCTCTTCCAGTAAGGGTTGGGAGGACATCACCTTACACTTTAAATCTGCTCTTTAATATTCACACAGTTTGTCATATTTGGTCTCTTAAGGACAGAAGTCTTTTTCTTTTTTTTTTTTTTTTTTGAGATTTTTGCTATAGGGCGCATGCGCTCACCAGACAGACAGAGAGAGACAGAGAGACAGAAAGCGAGAAATCACCCCCTAGAGGATGGCCATGCCGCAATCCCTTCTTCTCCATTCTTCTCTTGGGATCTTGGGCACGCACGCACACGCGCCCAGCATGAGTTTTAAGCTACCCGGTCCAGGACACGAACCAGTTGACTACGTGGGAGTCCAGCGACAGACATAGCCATTACGCTAACTGCTGGTCCCTAGAAATCTTACATCTTTTGTACATCCATCACACTCTCAATCTCTCTTTCTGGTGAATGCACATGCTCTGTAGCAAATTAAATAATAATAATGCTAAATAAAATTAAATAAATAATTCTTTAAAAAATAAAGACATCTATACACCCCAGTGTCACATAAGAAATTTAACTAATTAACATACTCAACTTGTATTTACATTAGTTAAAACCAACAATTACAAAATAAACATAACCAATAGATTCAGTTTTCGAAAAGCATAAATGCTAAAGGCCAAGAGTGTATATAACATAATTATAAAATGATTGCCATGTATTTACCAACATAATGAAGAGGTTAAAAAAATGACAGATGGAGGGAAAATTTAAAACTCGTATTTGAGGCCTCTGTACAGACTCAGAGCAAATGACGCTTTGGTTATTAAAACATATAGCTCAGTTACGGTCCCATAACTTGAGCAATCTTAGAATGATCTGTGAAAGGAAACCTGTGTGATTCCATGCTCCGGATTTGCACACATAAAGAACACATTCACTAGACTGGACATGAGAATGGTTCTTTTTTCCAACTTTACCTGAAATGCACATGAACACCGTAAGAAGAGATTAAAATTTCAAAATGACAGTAAAAGTATGTGCTTCTGAGCTCAAGAACATCTTTCATCCACTAAGTGGAGAAGAGCTGACTTCCTGATCCTTTCATCTTTTATATTGATCTCATTCCTGTGCAATATTACCAGGAATTCTGCCATTTTTAATCTGTAGTCAAGTCACTACTACAGAAGTTCATGTGGAAGTGAAAGTTGTAAAGAAAATTCACTAAACTGACAATCTAATTCACACAGTCAATTAATACCACAGTTTGTTTTAAGGATGAAATCAAGTAGTAGCATAGGAAACATTTACTCCTGTTTTTCCAGTTCTTGCTGTGTAGGCAGAAAAACAAAGAAAATAAAGTTAGAATAAGCATGCAGGAAAATAAAATGCAATCATATACAATAGAAACCACAGACTAAGAACAATTAAGTATCATTTTATTTCCAAGTCAGGGTAGGAAAATATTAATCAATTTCTCGTAGAGAAAGCCAGTCATGGGAGAATAGCAAGTGGTGTGTGTACGTATTATTTAAATATTGTAAAGTTAAAGCTAAAATAAAAGCCCAAGAAATCCTTAAAAGTTTTAGAATATATAGTCACTTTTTTTTTTTTTTCTTCTCCACTTCTGTTAACCTGAATAAGTATGAAGTTACAAAGTAATACAAATAATTTGGTTGGGAGAAAAGGAAACAATGAAATTCCAAAAAATAGCTTCAAACCAGGAAACCAAAACTAACGACAGTAACTAAATGAGCTATCACAGAAAGAGCAATACCGTCTATGACTTCTTTTAACAGAGTATTTTCTGCACAAAAATAGCTTTGTTCTTGTGCAGAAAAAAAAAAACTGATTAGTTATTTTCATTTCATGTGTTATATCAAAATTTAAAAAAGAAAAAATAATAATCAAATTCTACTCTACAGACAATGTGTGTAATCAATCCTTCAAAAAAAGTTCACAAATCAGGAACTCTAAGACCACCCATGAAATCCTGGTCCTAGGAATCTTTCAAATTAAATTTCACTCACGACCATGAAGAACAGAATTTACCTCAAATAAGTCATAGCCCTCAGATTCCTGTCGGTCGTATGGACGAATGATGCCGTCTTCCTGGATCAGGCGAGGAGGGCGGAGGCTGGAGACTTCCTCAGTTGATTCTGCTGCCCTAAATAAGGCAGCAAAGTTAAATGTAAAAAAAAAAAAAGATACTCTTTCAAAATAATACAAATACAAATATATAAACTGGTTAAACACACAAACATTTGACAAAAACAATTAGCAATTTCAAGTACCTTGGCCACAATCAAAATTATTAGCACCAAGTCTGTTTCACTGTAAGCACTTTCCTTAGAGAATATGTCGACACTAGGTCACCCACACCTTGTATCCTTGATGTGCAAATACTGTGCCCAGCAGGTGATCTGTGCTAATAACCCTTGTTGAATAAAAAAGGAATTGAGCCATAAGAAGTCTTTTCTTACTCTTTCCTGGAGGCATTCTACCTTGAGAAGCTTTCCCTTAGACTCTCAGATCCTTAACAGCAGGCAAACTCTCCCACCTAGTTATGTATCCCAAGCATCACTCAGCACCCAGCACAGGCCTGAACCCTGCACGTCCTCCTCACCTCTGAATGCCTTGGAAGGTACTGCTGGCCATGTCTATGATTCCGCCAGTAGGACGAGCCACAGCACCCACAAGCCCTTTTCCAATTCCTTTAAAGAATCCAGCAGCTCCCTCCTTTTTGGCACCTTCAGAGAATCAAAAATAATGGATGTATAAAGATACATTAAAATAAGCAAGTCTGAACTTCACAAAAACCTGAGCCAAATACTGTTTCACCCAGAAAACTACCAAAAATTTGTTTTTCTAAAACAGTTTAATATCCTAATGTGATAAAAGAGTGGGGTTCAAAGTGTGTTAGAAATACAAATTCTTGGGACCAGCAGTTAGCGAAATGGCTATGTTGCTGGACTCCAATGTAATTGACCGCAGTTCGAGTCCCGGACCCTGTGGCTTAAACTCACGCCGGGTGTGTGTGTATGCGTGCCCAAGATCCCAAGAGGAGAATGAAAGAAGAGATTGCGGTGTGGCCATACCCCCTGGGGGGTGATTTCTCACTTTCTGTCTCTCTCTGTCTTTCTGGTGAGCGCACACGCCCTATAGCAAAAACCTCTCCAAAAAAAAAAAAAAAAAAAAAAAAAAAAAAATACAAATTCTTGGGCCCTACCCCAGACCTACTGAATCAGAAACTCTGAGGGCAGGGCCAACAATCTAAGCACTCTTATGTAACCTTGAGGCATGCTCAAGTTTGAGAACTACTGATCTAGGGGTTTAGTTAGTACCTGTGACTAGAGGGTCTAAACACTGACCAGAAAATAATCTCTACTTTTTTAAACACTAATCATCAAAAGATCTTTTCAAACAGTATTTTTTTTTTTTTTAAGGTTTTTGCCATAGGACACAGTGCTTGCTAAAAGAGACAGTGAGACAGTGAGAGGAAAAGTGAGAAATCACGCCCTGGGAGGATGGCCACACCACAATCCCTTCTCCATTCTCCTCCTGGGACTTTGGGCATGCATACACATGGTCCCAGTGTGATTCTCAAGCTACCAGGTCTGGGAATCAAGCCACGGTCAGCCATGTAGGAGTCTAGTACCTTAACCACCCTGCCACCTGCTGGTCCCCAAGCAGTATGCTCTTTATAACATATAACAACTTTATTGAAATATAGTATACACCATAAAATTTACTCATTGAAGAGTACAAAGTAAATGCCCTTTAGTGTATTCAGAGTTGTGTATCTGTCACCAAAATTTTAGGAAATATGTACCACTTAAAAAAGAAAAAAAAAATGTCCATTAGCAATCAGCACCCATTTCTCCCAACCATACCCAATCCTTCCCAACTTACCTTCCCTCTTCCCTGACCCCTGACACACACACCCAATCACCTATATTCACACACTTCCTATCTCTATGGACTTGTCCATTCCAGACATCTCACACAGTTGGAATCTCACAACATAGGGTCTATTGTGACTGGCTTTGAATGTTTTCAAGGTTCATTCACCTTGTATCAGGTATTGGTGATTGATTCTTTTGAGCAGCTAAATAATATCCTATTGTATGGGTACGTCACATTTTGTTGACTCATTAGTATTAAATGATACCGTTGGGGTTGTTTCTCCTTTTTGGCTACTATGAAAAATACTTGTATTAACAACTGGTAGCATCCATGTAGAAGTTTTTGTTTGAGCATCTGTTTTCAATTCTACTAGGAGTAGAACTGCTGGATCCCATGGCCACTGTAACCTTTGAAGGTACTGCCAGACTACCTTCCTCTAAATCAGTTGCATTATTTTACATTCCCTCCAATATGTATCAGGATTCCAATTTCTACACGTCCTCTTCAACACTTGATTCCAGCCATAACAGCAGGTATAAACTGGTATATCATTGTAGTTTTTGGTTTTTTTTTTAAGGTTTTTGCCATAGGGCACACATGCTCACAGAGAGAGGGAAAGTAAGCAATCGCCCCCCAGGGGATGGCCATGATGCAATCCCTTCTCCTCCACTCTCCTCCTGCGACCTTGGGCACACACGCCCAGCATGACTGTCAAGTTGCTATATCCGAGACTCAAACTGTTGTCAGTCATGTGGGAGTCTAGCACCTTAACCACCATGCCACTTGCTGGCCTCATCTCACTATAGTTTTGATTTGTTTTTCACTGACGACAATATGCTAAGCATTCTTCCATGTACTTATTACCCATCTGTCCATCTCCTTTGGAGAAATATCTATTCATCTCCTTGACCCATTTTTAAATTGAGTTATTTGTTCTTTTATTAATGAGTTATAAGAATTCGTTACATATAACAAGATATGAGTCTCTTATCAGATACATGATTTGATACAATTTTCTTCCATTCTAAGGATGGTCCTTTCTCTTTTTTGATGGTATTCTTTGAAGCACATACATTTTTAATTTAAAAAAAATTTTTTTTGGAGCGGTTTTTGCTACAGGGTGCCTGTGCTCACCAGACAGAGAGACAGAAAGCAAGAAATCACTCCCTGGGGGGATGGCCACGCCGCAATCCCTTCTCCTCCATTCTCCTCTTGGGATCTTGGGCATGCACACACACACGTGCCCAGCGTAAGTTTTAAGCCACCAGGTCCGGGACGTGAACCACGGTCGACTACATGGGAGTCCAGCGACATAGCCACCATGTTAACTGCTGGTCCCCAATTTTTAAAATTTTATTTAATAATTATCATTATTATTTATACCACATTTTAAATTTTGATGAAGTCCAATTTATCAATTTTTCCTTTTGTTTCTTATGCTTTTGGTGTCATATCAAGGCCTGAACTAACTCAAAGTCACAAAGATTAACTCCTTTTTTTTTTTAGGGTTTTATAGTTCTGCTGTTACATGCAGGTATTTAAAACTCTGAGTCCACTTTAATACATAATGTGAGCAAGAGTCTCGTTTGTTTTGTATGTGATATCTACTTGTTCCAGCACTATCTGCTGGAAAGACTCCTCTTTACTCGAGTTATCTTGGCATCCTTCTCAAAGATCAATGAGCTATAAATGTAACGGTTTCTTTCGGGTCTCTCAATCGTCTTCCACCGATCTGTATGTCTATCCTTAGGCTATTACCACATGGTCTTTGTTGATGTATCTTTCAAGTAAATTTTGAAATTGGGAAATCTAAGTCCTCCAACTTTATTCTTCTTTACAAGGTTGTTTTGGCTATTTTGGACCACTGAATTTTCACAGAGAGTCAACTTTGTCAATTTTTTTTTTTTTTTAAGGTTTTTGCCATAGGACACAGTGCTTGCTAAAAGAGACAGTGAGACAGTGAGAGGAAAAGTGAGAAATCACGCCCTGGGAGGATGGCCACACCACAATCCCTTCTCCATTCTCCTCCTGGGACTTTGGGCATGCATACACATGGTCCCAGTGTGATTCTCAAGCTACCAGGTCTGGGAATCAAGCCACGGTCAGCCATGTAGGAGTCTAGTACCTTAACCACCCTGCCACCTGCTGGTCCCCAAGCAGTATGCTCTTTATAACATATAACAACTTTATTGAAATATAGTATACACCATAAAATTTACTCATTGAAGAGTACAAAGTAAATGCCCTTTAGTGTATTCAGAGTTGTGTATCTGTCACCAAAATTTTAGGAAATATGTACCACTTAAAAAAGAAAAAAAAAATGTCCATTAGCAATCAGCACCCATTTCTCCCAACCATACCCAATCCTTCCCAACTTACCTTCCCTCTTCCCTGACCCCTGACACACACACCCAATCACCTATATTCACACACTTCCTATCTCTATGGACTTGTCCATTCCAGACATCTCACACAGTTGGAATCTCACAACATAGGGTCTATTGTGACTGGCTTTGAATGTTTTCAAGGTTCATTCACCTTGTATCAGGTATTGGTGATTGATTCTTTTGAGCAGCTAAATAATATCCTATTGTATGGGTACGTCACATTTTGTTGACTCATTAGTATTAAATGATACCGTTGGGGTTGTTTCTCCTTTTTGGCTACTATGAAAAATACTTGTATTAACAACTGGTAGCATCCATGTAGAAGTTTTTGTTTGAGCATCTGTTTTCAATTCTACTAGGAGTAGAACTGCTGGATCCCATGGCCACTGTAACCTTTGAAGGTACTGCCAGACTACCTTCCTCTAAATCAGTTGCATTATTTTACATTCCCTCCAATATGTATCAGGATTCCAATTTCTACACGTCCTCTTCAACACTTGATTCCAGCCATAACAGCAGGTATAAACTGGTATATCATTGTAGTTTTTGGTTTTTTTTTTAAGGTTTTTGCCATAGGGCACACATGCTCACAGAGAGAGGGAAAGTAAGCAATCGCCCCCCAGGGGATGGCCATGATGCAATCCCTTCTCCTCCACTCTCCTCCTGCGACCTTGGGCACACACGCCCAGCATGACTGTCAAGTTGCTATATCCGAGACTCAAACTGTTGTCAGTCATGTGGGAGTCTAGCACCTTAACCACCATGCCACTTGCTGGCCTCATCTCACTATAGTTTTGATTTGTTTTTCACTGACGACAATATGCTAAGCATTCTTCCATGTACTTATTACCCATCTGTCCATCTCCTTTGGAGAAATATCTATTCATCTCCTTGACCCATTTTTAAATTGAGTTATTTGTTCTTTTATTAATGAGTTATAAGAATTCGTTACATATAACAAGATATGAGTCTCTTATCAGATACATGATTTGATACAATTTTCTTCCATTCTAAGGATGGTCCTTTCTCTTTTTTGATGGTATTCTTTGAAGCACATACATTTTTAATTTAAAAAAAATTTTTTTTGGAGCGGTTTTTGCTACAGGGTGCCTGTGCTCACCAGACAGAGAGACAGAAAGCAAGAAATCACTCCCTGGGGGGATGGCCACGCCGCAATCCCTTCTCCTCCATTCTCCTCTTGGGATCTTGGGCATGCACACACACACGTGCCCAGCGTAAGTTTTAAGCCACCAGGTCCGGGACGTGAACCACGGTCGACTACATGGGAGTCCAGCGACATAGCCACCATGTTAACTGCTGGTCCCCAATTTTTAAAATTTTATTTAATAATTATCATTATTATTTATACCACATTTTAAATTTTGATGAAGTCCAATTTATCAATTTTTCCTTTTGTTTCTTATGCTTTTGGTGTCATATCAAGGCCTGAACTAACTCAAAGTCACAAAGATTAACTCCTTTTTTTTTTTAGGGTTTTATAGTTCTGCTGTTACATGCAGGTATTTAAAACTCTGAGTCCACTTTAATACATAATGTGAGCAAGAGTCTCGTTTGTTTTGTATGTGATATCTACTTGTTCCAGCACTATCTGCTGGAAAGACTCCTCTTTACTCGAGTTATCTTGGCATCCTTCTCAAAGATCAATGAGCTATAAATGTAACGGTTTCTTTCGGGTCTCTCAATCGTCTTCCACCGATCTGTATGTCTATCCTTAGGCTATTACCACATGGTCTTTGTTGATGTATCTTTCAAGTAAATTTTGAAATTGGGAAATCTAAGTCCTCCAACTTTATTCTTCTTTACAAGGTTGTTTTGGCTATTTTGGACCACTGAATTTTCACAGAGAGTCAACTTTGTCAATATCTAAAAGAAGCCAACTGGGATTCTGGTAGGGACTGCACTGAGTAAACAATGTGCTTTGTTAATGGGATAAAACACACAAAAAAGGATCCAATGCTACTGAGGCCAAAGGAATCTAGCTTATCTATGGCTCTGAGGAAAATAGGACTCAAAGTCTGAATCATAACTACGACACGACTTCATCTCTCTACTTTCTGAGAAAAATACATTCATTAAACAGTTCAGGGCTATGAAGATACAATCCGGTCAGTGTTCTCTCGGCCAAACACCTCGTCACAATGGCATCCTTCCTGTTTACCATGCATCTACTCCTCGGCCTTTGTGCAGGAAGGACTCCCCTTAACCTACCTTCCACGGGTTTTGTTATTATTCCAGTCACTCCACCAACCACTCCCTGGAAGAGAAATCAATCATAAAGTCGTCACTGAACGGAAGGTGCTTAATTTTAAACTAACCACTAGAGGTCTCTAAAGACATACTGGAAATAGCTTTTTTTCTTTTAATTGTGGACTTATTTGATAATGTGAACAACATGCACATATAAGTGAGCGTGATGACTTTGTAAATGTTATATCACAGCAAACGTTAAATCAAAGCACCCTGTGAGAGCAAGCTTTTACCCTAGAAAGAACCGAGAGACAGGTGAACAGGTCTTAAACCTGGCTCTGGCACCAATCACTCACATGGCCCCGGGCAGTCGATTCTGTTTCTTTAAGCCTCAGTTTCCATATCAGTAAAATGAGAGAGTTGAATCGAATAATCCCTAACATCTCATTATACATTTTAATGAGATTACTTTGTAATTTAGAGAGTGGAGAAAACCGAAAATAAAAGGAACTTTCAAGGATAACAAATAATCTGGCAAAGAAATTCAGAAAATACAAACTCAACATTATAAATCACAAACACAGCAGTGAGTTTCCTGAAATTACTTCCAAAATTAAAACAGTCATATGTTTACACCTTCTTTTTCTTTTTTTTTTGGAGAGGTTTTCGCTATAGGGCGCGTGCGCTCCCCAGACAGAGAGAGACACAGAGACAGAAAGCGGGAAATCACCTCCCAGGGGGGATGGCCATGCCGCAATCCCTTCTCCTCCATTCTCCTCTCGGGATCTTGGGCATGCACGCACACGCACCCGGTGTGAGTTTTAAGCCACCGGGTCCGAGACGCGAACCGTGGTCGACTACATGGGAGTCCAGCGACATAGCCATTACGCTAACTGCTGGTTCCCTATTTAAACCTTCTTAATAACTGTGAAGAAATTAATAACTAAACACACTAATTTGAAAAGATTAGATACCTCTGGAAAGAGGTAAGGGGGGATCAAAGAGTATTCTCTATACCCGAGCCTTACCTCTGATGCTTCTGTCAGTTATTAAAGGAAAACTTTCAAGTTTTCATATTTACTCATAAGGAGTCTATTCATCCATTAGCTGGATAATTAGAATGTATTCATATATTATTTATGTAATGTAAAAGGTACTGGAAAGCAATAGAAGGCAGTTTCTGGCTTATCCACACTGTACTCTCACACATGCCTTCCACAGAGATGGTCAACTGACAGAGCCCCAAAGAGCTCCCCTCCCTCTAGTTACCCCAGCGGCCATATTCCCCTGCTTCTCACTTCTTCACCTTCCACAGTGCTAACCTGTCATCACAGTAGTTTCACCCCAGCACAAATGCCAAACTAAGTCTGGCAATTTAGGAACATCTGGTGACGAGATGGGGAAGGGGAGCAAAAAGAAAACCAGAAAGTCCACGATTTATCACTACGACTTCTCTGACAGGCCCAGACTCACAAGAAGTATTCTGAACTGTTGACAGTCACCTAGAGTGCATGTTTTAGAGCATATACAGACTGGAGGGTTTCTCGAAGATTCAGGAGGACAC